GAGAGAGAGAGAGAGAGTGTGTGAGAGTGCATGGATAAAGTGTAAGATTATCTTTTCGAAAAGTGAAACCTGCGGGATGCTCGGTTTAAGAGTGATCGGTGTCCTCGATTTCCTCGATTCAAACGTGTGTCCATCTATCCATTTTCCAGCCGGAAATTCTAATAATCTTTTTTTCTTTTAGGATCACGTACATCATCTACCTACTCGATCGATTATTTTATCCCGCAACTCGAGTTTCCACGAGTTAAACACGTCGATATCTTGCTTTCCCTCTCGAACGTGCGATCCTCCTCTTTCGTTCACCGATCACGCTTCGATGATCGTAACACGGTTTCGAATTTTCTTTTGCTCGGCCGTCTGGATCCAAATCCTTTTCGGACTACTTACTACTTTCTCGCATTCGGGGTTCACGTTTCACTTTTCCACGAACTTTATTAACCTTATTCATCTTTAACTTCGTCATCACCAAGTGCTCGATTAATCACGATATCTTTCTCATTTCTTTTCCTTTTTTCCAGTGTATGATAGTCGGTCTAGCGGGGTTCGCCCTCGCGGAGCCACCGTCCGGCTACAGCTACAGCAGACCATCAGGGGGTGGTTATTCCTTCGGTGGTGGCGGCGGTGGAGGCGGTGGCGGTGGTGGATACACCGCAGTGTCCACCGGCTATCAAACTAGCGAGGGGGCATCGATCGACGGCGCGTTGCTCGAGCAGATCCGTCAGATCCTGCTGAGGGAAGAACAGAGCAGCGGATTCGGAGGTGGCATCGGAGGTGGTTACGCTCCTAGCTCGAGCTACGGCGCCCCATCGTCCCAATACGGTGTTCCAAGCTCGTCCTACGGTGTGCCGAGTTACCAGACCCGCGTGGTGGGCATCGATCTCGATGGAATCAGGCAGGCCATCCAGGTGGCCCAGTTCAACCAAGTGAGCCAAGGGCCTGGCGGCTATCCGAGCGGGCCGAGCGGAAGCTACGGGGTGCCGAGCAGACCAAGCGGTAGCTACGGTGCACCGTACTAAATGCCGATCATCGGACCAAATGCAGATTGGATGATGGGAGAGTGAGAGAGAAGGAGCGAAAGAGAGAGAGCGAATGGAGGCACCGCGTCGACCACCGCGATTATCTTCCGAGCTGAAACTCGAGGCAACGAAACGGAGGCAAGATGATCGAGGCCGATCGAGAAGTACCAGGATTATTACGTTCGATCGAGTAGTAAGAATATTTTTACCCCAAACACGATGAGAATTCTTCGAATCCTCCAACTTATTCCGCTCGGAAGATGGTCGTAAGACGGATAAATCGTTAAGAAGATAGATCGTATTTTCAAACAAACGAATAATATCGGTGGTCGTTCGACGTTGTCAGGATTCTCAGGGGAAGGGAGGGGGGGTAAAGGAGGAGAATAAGATCGTAAAGGATGTACGTACAAGGTAACATTCCAAGCAGGGATTCCAAAGGATCCTGTTTCGTTGAAATCAAATCGTCGTCGCTTCAACGGGCCACGATCCTCGAAGGAATCGCGGGCGTGCGTACCAAACGGAAGCTCCAGATCTTTGGCTCGTTGAGGAATAAAAGGTCGTCGCTTCAACGGGTCAGGGCTCGTGGAGTGAACTTGAAACGTTCGAACGATCGGCTGCTAGATTTAACGAACCGAGAGTCGACGGGGTGTCGTTTTCTTATCGTACCAAAATCATCGTCGTCGCGGTCGGATCCACGAGGGATCACGAACGTACCACAAGTGATAAAAATGAGCTGTCGCGAAGAGAAAAAGATAAAAAAAAATAAAAAAAAATAAAAAAATAAAAAAAAGAGAGAAAAGAAAAGAAAAAAAAAAGAATAGAAACAAACTACTGCAAAAAACGATCTCAAAAGAGATTCAACGTTACTACCATTCGTTGTGACTTCGAAACGGTATATAGCCGTGATGCCGGAGCCGAAGTCGAAGCCGTGATCGGCGCACAGAAGCGCCTTGTAAATACAATTTACACGCTTTCCACAGCGTACGCTACGTCATCCAAGAGTACGAGGAGGAACTGAACGCGTACGTCATCGAATCTGGCCTAAAACAGTTATTCCAAGAAAGATCAATGATGCCTAACGTATTGAATGATTGAAGAAAAAGAAGAAGAAGAAAAAAAAAAAAGAAATTGAAAGGAAATGAAAATCGAGAAACGTAGCGGACGCTGACACAAATATACACGTAAACACACAGATACATTATATTTTTTATATGTCTTAAACGCTACTCCTTAACCACGCATTTTTTTATACTTGTATAAAGGCTTTTTTGTAGAAAAAAATAAAAAAAAACGTCGCCACCGTTGAAACAACCACCTGTGTTCAATTTCGTCGTGTACTTCGCTCCACCTCTTCTCCACCGGCTCTCGTCGTTCTTTCCTCATTCTTAATTTCTCTTTTCCTTATCGATCTCTCTTCTCTTTTCGAATCTCACGACTTCGATCTTTATTCTAAGCTCCGATCCACTCCCTGCGGGTGTTCGCCCGCAGCTACGTGAATATTCCTCCTCCTTTAAAGACGATCAATTTTTCTTTTCCTTTTTGTCCATCAGCCGCCTTTCTCCTTTCACTGCACCGATCAGAACCAACGGTTCAGCCCCTCCTCCCTTCCCGAGGGGCACACGAGGCTTCTCCGGCCTGGACGTGACGTCAATTCTCAGCGTTTAACAGATGCTCGCAAAGCAGGCCGAAGAAGTCTGGACACCGGTCAGGGATTCGAAAGTGGTTTCGCCTCGCTGTTCTACCCGCCTCGCGAGTTCTTCAACAATTTACGTACTCTCGATTCAACGTCGATTTAAACGTATTCTCGAGAGGCAAATAATAGACCAAGACCGTTTCGAAGGCGAAATTGACAAAATTCCATAGCAGATTCGTTCGATGGGAAATGTGTTATCAAAAATTACCGGAAACTTTTATACATGCGATTCGATATAACACACAACTATAATGGAAACGTTTAAAGGCTGAGTAATGAGTTGTGATACGCTGCATTAAATCGCTTACGTGTGTTTAGATTTCATTGTTTATGCAATCGTGGTACACGTAACAGATTTATTAAGTCAGCTATGAGAATTTCCTCCATTGGAGAAGCTCATCGTCCGTGCCTTATGAGATTTATATCGTGCAACGAGAGGAATGGACGATGCATCCATTAAGATACATCTAATTGAAAGTATAATTGAATCAATAATATATTTGTATAGAAAATTCTGACTATGCTCGAAGTAATCTCTCGATCGAATTCACTGCAAATCAAGTAATTAGAAATTGAGTAATCGGAGCAAACAGAATTGAGTAATCAGTCAGCATCTCGCAATGCGAGGCTAGTGCAATTAAACACACTATGATGAAGAATATATCGCAAACCCTATATTAGAGTTAAATTAAATCATTATGGACTGGGACATTTCTCTATTCTACATAACTTCGTCGCGCCTAATCTTGCAGATCTTGCGCAAGAGAGAAATATAGAATGCAATTTTCAGAAATCAAGCAAATATTCGATGCTTGGAAGATATTATAGACAATGAAAAATTGATATCGGAAGAGCGGAAGTTGTTACAAGAAAAGAGAAGATGTTGCTTCCAATCTATTCCCTCGCTAGAATCTTTCCTCGCGATTTGTAGCGATTGAAACATCAGCTTAGTAACTTTGTTGCTAAGCTGTCGTTTTTTATGTTCACCATCTGGTTCTCCTAGCAAGAAAAATTTCAGTTGCACGTTTTGATACGTCTTTTTATAATTCACAAAGAAATATTCGAAATCGAGAAAGTATTATTTTTTTCGCTAACCATGAGAAAATCGAAATATCAATTTCGATTCAGCCATTCTAAAAAGACTTACGTATGTACCGCGTACGAAGTCCAGCAGGGAAAGTGCGACGCCTCTTCCAGGGATGGCGAGGTCGAGAAAGGGGAAAGGAGAGAAGAAGAGGAACTGTGAGATTCTCCGTGAAATTTTGTAAGAGCTGTACATAATCCATAAACGTGCCTGCCAGGCAGAAGCCGTGCGAAAGGAAGAAAAACGCGCACGCAACGAGATCCATCCATGCTCCAGTTCGAACTTGTAGGGTGAGATTACATGCCCCAAGAATTCTTAATTTCAAAATCGTCACAGTTACGTAAAACGTTTTACCTAAATGATAAAAGAAAAAGAAAATTTATATATTAAAATTTCAAAGATGCAATATATATCTATATATCTAAACTATTCAGAATATTTAAATGATCGAAAATATTCTTTCAAACATACAATTTTTGTCTCTTGCGATACGCATTTAAAACTCTCTTAAAACAGGGATTTCTCATTGAGTTTAATTATTTTATTTTTTCAAAATTTATAATGAACTTTTTCCACGAAGAAGGCATAATCATACGATCTATCAACGGCAAAGAAGTCGCGGCGTGTGAAAGGAGAGAAAAACGCGGGCATGGTGACGCACAATGCGATCCACTCGGCCAATTATGGGAAGAGAATTTGTCGAGCTCGTAAAACGTGCACATTTACAATGGTCCTGCTCGTTGTTTTACTTTCGCTAATCCCGTTTCCGCGACACAAGTTTTTCAGCTGATGCCAATTGCTTAACATACGGGTCCTGTTCTCATTAATGTGCGGATGAACGAGTTTTTTTTATTTTTTTTTAATCTGTTCGAGTATGTCGTGTTTTATATAATTATAGGACTAGATAAGAATTATTACGACTGATTACTCACGTCCTTCATTTATTTATAATTATATAATTCATTTATTTATAATTGGTTTAAGATTAGCAAAATTTCATTTTCAGCAAAAAAAAAAAAAAATAAAAACGAGGAATTCATTATCAAAAAAATTTCACAAATATCTCTTTTTTCTTTCTTATCTTTGACGCCAATTATTTCTGATGTCATAAACATGACTGATTAAAATTATTCCATCATAATCCAATGAAAGAAGTATTTATTTTTATAAATCGTTAATTAAAGATACATTTTATCATATTTTTATAGTCTAATAAAAAACAGTAGGCTGTATTGTGGTTAATTCGTTATCTTATTTCATTAAATTTCTACATTTAAACATCATTTTGTTCAATTTTTTAATTCAAATGATTTGACTCGATGAATTTAATCAACAAGTCATTTGACTTTGTCTATCTAATGCGTACTTTACATCTAATTATTGATTAAATATTTTTAAATATGATAATGTATGCACTGTGTATGTTCAACGTTGTTCGACAAACGAAGGATAATCATTATATAAGAAATTTGTATTCCATGAAAAATCAAGACCTACACGTGTGAATCCGCACAGCTAATAGCGGAGAATCGAACAGCTTCGGCCATTGGTGAAAAAAATTGAGAAAAGAAGGAAAGACAGACTCTCCAATGAGAATCTACAGTTATGTAAGTCGATAAGTATTGGACGAAGGAGTCGGGAATGCAGTTTGCAATTGCAACTGTGGAAAGTACACGGGGTAAAAAAGCGGTGCAATTTTAAGAGGGGTCCCTGTGTGCCCAGAAATTGTGCAAATTGGTTGATTGCACAAGCGCGTGTATCACCTTTGCAACTATTGCGGTGAAAGAAATCAAACAGAAATGACCGATTCTTTAGAATATTACCTCAAGATTTCCGTTCGAATCCATCGCGAACGCATCCAAGATTAATCGTCGGTGTAAATTAAACGCAATGATGAAAATTGAAATGGTTGGAATTTATTATCATTTCTAATGTAAGATTAAGCAGACACGAACAAATGAATTTCCGTGATGATTTAACATATTCACTGGGTCTATTTAAAATGTGATAAATATAGGTATCCGTATCTTAAGATAGTCGCGAAAAAATTAATAAACTCGCTTTTTAAAAATAGAATTTAAAAAAATATAGAATGCGATACGTTTTAAAAAAAAATATAGAATGTGATACGTTTTAAATGCGATTAAAATTAAGACGTCACGACAAATGATAGAATGTAAAGTCGACGTGATACTTGTTCATTGATTGCATGCAGATACTTCTACCCTGAGAAAGCGAAGAAGGGGAGAAAGTTACGAGAAAATTATCGGTTTCTCGCGCGCGCGCGCGCACCATTACATCGTCTGTAAATATAGAAGATGAACATGGCCAACTACTTGAACCTTCCATAACATAGAACATAATTTACAATTCATTCGTAGTTTGATTTATGATTTTTATGATTACCTGTAGCAAAAGGAAATATAGCGGAAGTTCGCGATAATATAGTACTTTTGAGATTAAATTTCTCTTATTTTTTTTATAAAAAATAAAGTATTAATTGGTTAATTAAGAAAATGAAATATTTACGACAAAATTTTAACAAATAGTTTAAGTAAACAGAATTAAAAATAAACATTTCTTGTATTTAACTTTTAATAATCATTTCTTTTGATGTAAGTTTTTAATTACTTATTATACAACAATAAAATGGTTGAAATTATGCAACTTACGGTTATACGTTGAAATCATATGATGAACTTCTTTTTATAGACTTGTTGATGTTGTTATGTTTTGCTAGTTGATGTGTATTTATTTGTAGTTATTGGCGAAACGAAGGAAACAGATGTTGTTTAGTGTAAGTGGAACAGGAACTGTTGGATCATATGGAAAAATAATGATTTAAAAAATTCGAAATAATTTGTTGACATTTTAAATGAATATTAAAACATGTAAACATGTGTACTTTGATATGATAAAAGATTGGTTATATATTATTGTATTATCTTGTGCAGAAAAATTTTTTATCCTTATGATTAAGAATAAAAAATAAAAATAAAAAAGAAATAACTAATGATATAAATAAATAGTTGATATTTCAAGATATAATATAAAAGATATAAGAACGTTGATAGAAATGAAAAGAAATATTGTTACGTTTTTAAAATACTTGCATTATAAAAATATTTAAGAATGTGTTATAATTAGAAACATTTTACTTATTGATGCAGCGGTAAAAATAAAAGAATTTAATTAATTCATTTATGTACATCACGTTTTGACTTTTCACTGTGCATTGTCCTCTTATTTACACCATCAATTGTTTCTTTCAACCAAGCACCAGTTTCACAATTATTGTTATGATATTTAAAAATATCAATGGAACTGTAACAAAAAATACATAATACGTTTAAATTAATGATAAAATTCATTAAAATAATTTTTTATTAATACCTCGTGCCACTGTTCGTATCGATTTAATAAGATTCAAAATTTGTGATTTAGCTGTAGCAGTTTCTCCAAAACCTTGAACATTTTGCCACGATGCCCAGCCAACTATAAAAAATTTAAAATAAAAGATTAAAGGAATAT